ATACAGTATGTGCAGTATATCAGAATTTAAATGTACCTATGTTTTTGTCTCTTCCCTCTCTCTCTACCTCTCTGCAGCGTACTCCCACGTGGTCGAGAACACGGCGTTTTTCGGCGACGTGGCGCTGCGTTTCCCCCGGATCGTCCACCATTACTACGACCGGAACGAGGACTGGGACGGGATGCTGCGCTGGGGCCTGAACTTCTGCAACCAGTCGGGGGTCTTCACAGGAGGAGCCCACCAACATGTCCTCACACTGGTAAGAGTGGATTCTCGTCTTTCCTGTCCCTAATATTGCCTGTTGGTGTGTCTTGTCACAGTCCATTGGTATGAGGGTGTAAACAAAGGATTCTGAGCTTTGATTTCAATAAATATTCTTCACAAATGGTTAAAAATACAAGTACAATCCTTGGGTATAATGTATTAATGTGAAATGGCACACCTTGATAAACTATCTGAATCTTTAGAATAAGGGCCTGGACACTAGACGGAAAGTATTTACAATATGTGTGACTTACACACCTAGAATTGGAGAGAGTTTGTGTATTATACAGAAACATCTACAAGCTATAGACACCTAATACTAACCAAATACCCTAAAACTAGACTAGCCGTTAATACTAAATGGTCCCAAAACATTATTTTCTAAACATTGGTTGAAATAGGTTAGACATAATAAACACAGGAGTCTGCAAAAGGGAAAATAATGGTACAAATTAAATGCCTTAAGTAGAGTAACTTGTTTAGAAGTCCCCAGCCATTTAGTGAAGTCAGGATTTGACATTTTTATTCAACAACGGCTGCCTTTTCTGTTTTTAAAAGGATGAATGCCAACTATAAAAATCCAGCTACTGAATTTTAAAGGAAGCAAATGTTTTCTATTCTGCAGAGCTAAACAGAAAGACTTGTTCCTTTTGGTAAGGCTGCTGAAATCTCAAATCAGACCACATTTAAGGGCCATGAAAAAACGAAAAAATCGCACCATACTTTTGTCTTTCTTAGCAGTTTTCTGTCCATTTGACATCAATGCCAAAATATTTGCTTTTGTTATTTTGAAGTCTAGATGCAGAATTCATTGTAAGTGCACGATGAAATGAATCCCTTTCTCTGCAGGAGACATAGTAAGGACATGGAAGAAATAACAGTGCAGTGCACAGTGTGGTAAATTGCCTGGTGCAGAGACCTGACAGAACCACACTTGTTCAGGTTATACAGTATCCATGGAGATTTCACTGCAATCTGCTGTCATGCATGCAGCACAAGGCACCTTATTGTTTGCTGAAAAGACGCTGATTTGCCATTTGTCATCGAATTTGTCCATGATGAGTTGAAATTTAAAAGCAGATAAAATGGTGTATCTGTTTTAATGTTAAGGGTTAATGAACTAAACTCCTGCAGCATTAATCTGTGACTTTAGCAACGTGCCAAGGGGATTATATTGTGGATTAATTCTGAGTGGTGAAGCAGCAGCAGTTAGCTTCTCCTCGGTAACTCCTCTCTTAGTTTCTGAGCCCGCTATTGTTCATATAGCCATAGGGTCGAATGCTAATATGATAAAATGATATATGGAAGAACTGTTGCTGCTTGCCTTATACTGCTTTTTGTCTGCAGAAAAAGCGTATTTCTATTGAATAAATGACAATGTACCCCCCCCCCCCCCCTCCTCTTCTCCCCTGTCACCTGTCTATTCTGCTAATCTGTCAGATGTCACAGGAGCTGGGAATTACAGAGAAATCCCCAGACTTTATAAACCCGTATCGCACAGAGAGAGACGACGTGAGTAAAATGCAAACACACACACACACACACACACACACACCCACACCCTCTTCAGATGACCTTTAATGCCTTTTACTTTCTAGCAACCAGTAACAATTGCAACACAGAGACAAATCTTTGCTATTTCATATTGTTTCATTATCTCTAGTGGTGAAATGTAAGGAAGTAAATGTACTACGTAAGTGGATGACCAACAACAGAGCCGGCCAGCTAACCAATCAGAGCAGACTGGGCTCTGGTTTCAGACAGAGGGTGAAAAGAGGTGCTGCAGCACAGGCAGTATGAGAAAAATAAAGAGCTTTTTGAACTTTAAAGCATGGAGACATGTCACAGTAGAGACACTACATACTGATATACACCTGAACATCAGCAGGAGAGGACTCTTTAAAGTAGAGACACTACATACTGATATACACCTGAACATCAGCAAGAGAGGACTCTTTAAAGTAGAGACACTACATACTGATATACACCTGAACATCAGCAGGAGAGGACTCTTTAAAGTAGAGACACTACATACTGATATACACCTGAACATCATCAGGAGAGGACTCTTTAAAGTAGAGACACTACATACTGATATACACCTGAACATCATCAGGAGAGGACTCTTTAAAGTAGAGACACTACATACTGATATACACCTGAACATCAGCAGGAGAGGACTCTTTAAAGTAGAGACACTACATACTGATATACACCTGAACATCAGGAGGAGAGGACTCTTTAAAGTAGAGACACTACACACTGATATACACCTGAACATCAGCAGGAGAGGACTCTTTAAAGTAGAGACACTACATACTGATGTACACCTGAACATCAGCAGGAGAGGACTCTTTAAAGTAGAGACACTACATACTGATATACACCTGAACATCAGGAGGAGAGGACTCTTTAAAGTAGAGACACAACATACTGATATACACCTGAACATCAGCAGGATAGGACTCTTTAAAGTAGAGACACTACATACTGAGATACACCTGAACATCAGCAGGAGAGGACTCTTTAAAGTAGAGACACTACATACTGATATACACCTGAACATCAGCAGGATAGGACTCTTTAAAGTAGAGACACTACATACTGAGATACACCTGAACATCAGCAGGAGAGGACTCTTTAAAGTAGAGACACTACATACTGATATGAACCTGAACATGAGCATTGTATGTCCTCTTTAAGTGAAATGTTAAAGGTCCCGTGTCATGGCCATTTCTACTGATCATAATTCCATTGTTGAGGTATACTAGAATAGATTTATATTTTGCAATTTTCCAAAATCGCATTGGTTTCTCATACAGCATCTCTGTATAGTATGTGTATTCACTCTCTGTCCTAAACGGCTTGTTGGAGCTCCTGCCCCCCCCCCCCCCCCCCCCCCCCCCCCCCCTGTGAGCCCAGTGGCCGTCTGCGAGACAGCGAGACACAGCTAAACCCAGCCCGAACACACACACACACCCGCAGCCTGGCTGTGAGTCGGTGTGTGTGCTCACACACCGACTCACAGCCTCGCCGCGTCCCGCCGTCTCAGGGAGGAGAAAACGGCGGAGCTGCAGCTGAGAAAAGATTGAGTGTGTGTGTGAGTGTGTGTGAGGAAGTCCGCGGATTGGTCAATTTGGACCAATCCGCGGACTTAACGTAATGGCTCCACGGATTTGGACCAGGAAGAAAACAATGGAAAAAGAGAAATCCCCAACGAGGCGTTCTGGGGCAGCATAGACAGGTCTTTTCTGTGTTAGAGTTTTACTCGCTACAGGGTGTACTTTGAGGGTTTGTGACTCTGCAGACCGTTTACATGCAGAAAAACCTTCATAACACACAAGGGGACGGGTAATAACCGGAAAAGCATGACATGGGCCCTTTAAGGTACTCGTACTTTGTGTACTCTTATACTACTCTATTCTTCTACTCCTTGCTTCAGGTGCTTCACACTGCCGAGGCTTTCCAGAAGATTCTGAGGGAGGAGGAGAAGAGGAGGAGGAAAGAGGAGAAGAGGAAAGAGATCCGGAAAGGTCCTCGCATTTCCCGCTCCCGCAACGAGCTATAGCGCTGCAAAACAGAGCGTTAGTAAAAGAAGAAGAGGAGGAGGAGGAGGAACAGTCAACAAGGGGTGGCTTGACTTGTAGACTCCGATGACAGTGAAGGGAATAAAAAGCTGTCATCGCTTGTACAAAAGCCTGGTGCTCTGTTGAGAACAAAACCTCAAGGTGACACCAATAAAGTGGAAGTGGTTAGTCAGTTTCTGACGCAGGCTTGAGTTGCTGTACATGCATATGTGCGATTTATAATTGGAGAATCTAACGTTGAATAAGAAGTAGACGCGTCTCAAAGAGGAGTTGAAAAGGGAAACTCATTTTTGATAACTTGAGGATTCAATAATTTTGGAATATATTTAATTTCAGTATAATCTTAAAATAAACCCCACTGTATTGTGTCTGTTCTAGATTATATGTGTCTAAAACCCATATGCTTCAAAATCAGTGTGTTTGCCAAATATAAATTGTCCTCGCCTTGAATTGATGGAATACCGTTTTTATTTTTGTTTAAAATGTTTTCCTTCAATTGAGATATGTTGGATATATCTAGAGTGTAGTTTGAGTAGGCAGGTTTATGTTCTTATTGCTGCTCAAAGTTTTAAAAGACACATCTTGTGTTGTGTTTGCCTGAAAGACAGTATTCCTTAATTTGTTCCTTTTTTTTTTCGTGTCTTTTTCAATATTTTTGTTTATCATCAGGGATTTTTCCTTTTAGATCATTCCCCGTTTCAGATATTGACCTTTAGTTAACAATAATTATAATAATTTCATCCTGTTGAGTATCTGTCAACCAGAGGTCCAGAATAGAAACATTTATCTTGCAGCCCTGCACCAGCTTCTTTATTTTCATTTTGTTTGTCTTTTTCTATTTATCTTTGCTGGAAATCAACATATTTTAATGGTTTAGATCTATGGAATTGAGATTGTTGTAATTTTGAAATAGACTGTTATCAAACTATATGTGTATATTCAGAGAAATAATATCATTGCTGCAGAATGAACAAGCCATTTTGTTATCAAATTTAATGAAATAAAGTGACTCTGATATACAAAATAAAGTGCATTTCATATGTTAACATTGCACAGTGTGTTTGTTTGTCACAGTGAGTTGTAGAGATCAGTCCTCCCCAAAATCACTTTGGCTAAAGTCCAATGTTTTGGTTTAAGGTTGAACAAAACTCAACCTGAACTGTTTCTACATTCAAAAGGAAACTAAATAATGTAGAGACGAAACAACCTCTTTCACTGAGACTGAGAAGGGCTTCTAACAATTATAACAACGTGGACTCAGGTAAGATAATCTGTTGATGTTGTTAAAGTGGCTGTTTCCGTCATAATATTAATATATATATATATATATATATATATATATATAAAAAAAAAAAAAATCAAAATTCGTTTTTTTTTATTTATTCGTCATAAATTAGCAACTTGCTAATACAAGCTGTTAGCTAAATTAGCTGTTGATAATTACTTTAGCTAGCGTCGCATTGCTAATAAATAGCAGTGGCTACAGGGAAGCATTACCGATTAAAACTTGATTTATGTATTTGATGTTTGATTTTGGTTGACATTCGGTAGTATTTGAGCTATACACATCAAACCTAAGCACCCTAATGTTAGTGGGTAAGGCTAGCTCTTATATAACATTAACTGTTAGCTAACTTACTCAGTGGTGACGTTTTGTTTACATTGGAAACTTCCCGACACACACTGACTTTTCTAGGCTTGTCAAATTACTTTTGTCAGTGTTTTTAGTTGCAGGGAAGCTTTCAAAAAGTAAATATTCAGTGGTGGAAAGTTGAGGTTGGAGAAGTAGGCTACTCAGATCTTGTACTTAAGTAAAAGTAGAAGTACCAGAGGTTCCGGTCGGACCGGTCCTCAGAAGCTAGACGTTGCTACAGACGTTGACGCAGATTTTATACCGAATGTAATGTCAGGGGCGGACCTACGGGGTGGGGGCACTACAAGGCTCTACACTGCCCCCCCACTGTAGAGCCTTTCCCCCCCAGCTGCCCCCCTAACTTTGATGTCCCTAAAACTGTACAAACCTACACTATGTGCACAAGCTCGGGCTCTTCGAAGATCCAAAAATCCACGGTTTTCTTAAATTTCTGATCGGATTGGCAAAAACTTGAGAATCTGTGTTGACCGCCATTCAAATGACAGCTTTGTTTTCCCCCAAAAGTGGGCGGAGCCGTACTTTTTGCCCGGAAGTGACGCATGTGTTACTCATGTGATATGTTTTGATTGTAATGATTGATCATTAAAGTGTTATCAAAGCTGGTAAAGGTGCAGCTCGTTTTAATGACTTTGTATACTGCAGGGTAGCTTGTGAATTTACTCCAGGTGGAACAAGTCTTATTAAAGAATCTGAGTACTTCTTCCATCACAGAAAATACCTACACACTCGGTTAATTACAGACACTTTTTTTTTATTGCTTCTTTTCCACTAGAAGATATGGACGAGAGTGAGGACATGGAGGTTGAGGACATAGAGGTTGAGACCATAGACTTGACAATGGTTGAGATGGTTGAAATAGACGACCCTGCACCCAGACGGACTGAAGAGTTCAGGCTGGTCCTCATCGGAAAAACTGGATCCGGAAAGAGTGCGTCTGGAAACACCATCCTGGTTCCTGTCACAGTTCAGCGCCAGCTCAGTCACCCAGAGCTGCCAAGTGGGGAGCACTGAGGAAGAGGATGCTGAGGAGGAAGATCAGACTGTCACACAGAGGAGGATGAGGAGGATCACGGTGATTGACATGCCGGGGTTTGGGGACACTCACTTATCTGTGGAGCAGATCTATGCTGAGGTTGCTAAATGTGTCTCTCTCTCTGCCCCGGGGCCGCATGCATTCCTGCTGGTGGTGCCATTAGGGCGATACACAGAGAATGAGAACCAGGCTGCGTGCGAGTTGACCAAAATATTTGGTGAGGAGGCAGTCCGTCACCACACAGTGATTCTTTTTACCAGGGGTGATGACCTGGAACGGGATGGCAGAGGGATAGAAGATTATCTGAGTGAGACCGCACCTGCTGGGCTTAAAGCTCTGATTGACAGGTGTGGAGGCAGGTACCATGTGCTCAACAACAACGACCCCAGCAACTCAGCGCAGGTTAAAGAGCTCTTACTGAAGGTGGGCGACATGGTGAGGCAGACTAAGGAAGGGTTTTATACCAATAACATGTTTTTAGAAGCAGAGGCCGCCATCAGGGAGGAGCAGACGAGGATGTTGAGGGAGCAAGCTGAGGGGGAAGAACAGGATATATATAGGAAGCGTCACTTGGATTCTTACAGAGCAGCGAGCAGCGATATAGGATCCAGGAGGAGGGAGTTGGAGAGAGGCAGCAGGTCTGTGAGCAGGCGACAGTCTCTCCATTCCTCTCTCACAAGGAGGGAGGCAGCGCTCTCTCCTAAGGTTCTGGAGACGATTAAGATCATGGTGGTTGCGGGGGCCAAAGGCCTGTTAGTGGGGGCCGTTTTCGGGGCCGCTGTACCTTTAGCAGCCGCTGCCGGGGCTTCTTTGATGGGGAACTCTATTGGTTTTGCTGCAAGTAAATTTGCCTGTATGTCTTTCGCTGGAGGTTCAGGTGTTGGGAACGCCGTGGGGGCCATAGTAGCAGCGGCCTCTGGGAAAACTGCAGTGGCTCTGGGGGCGGCAACGGGTGGAGCTTTGGGTGGTTCTTTCGGGGTTATCACTGCTGCTAAAGCTGCCAGTCCTGGGGAGGGCGCTCTGGATACCCTGGAGCAGGTTCGTCTCATAGGGGCCTCTGCTGTGGGGGTGGCAGCAGGGGTGGGAGGCATCTTGGCAGCTGGGGCCGCTTTAGGAGCAGCTCTGCAGGGAGCAGGTACAGCTGTAGCTAATGCTGCTGTAGCTTCAATAGCAGGAAGTGTAGCTCCTAGCAGCGTGGTGTCGGACCCCTGGGGGACGGTGTCCACACCCCTCCTGAGTGCAGTGGCTGAGATCGGAAAGGCTGCAGCGGGCATTGCCTTGGCTGGTGGTCTGGCAGTGAAGGTGGTGAATAAAAGAGTGAGTTGTGGCACAGCAACAACAGAAGCCAGTGTCTCCGAGGAGGTGTCGTATGAGATCTGCTGGAACAAACAGTGAGATCCTATTTTTTTCTATGAAGTCCTACACTCCACAGTAGCTGCCCTCAGTGAGAGATATCACACATACAATAGATCAAAAATGGCAATTGCAATAATATTGGTTGGAGCTATTTGAGGCTGGTGAATTAATTCAGGGACATTTGCAGTGCTGCCTGGGAGGTTTAATAAAGAAAAAAGCGAATCAATTGTTATAAGATTATCATTCATCTCGCAATGGTTTGGTTTTTAACAGGTTATAGAACTGATATACACACTTTTTTAAGCTTCTGTTTATTTTCATTTTGTTTGTCTTTTTCTATTTATCTTTTCTGGAAATCAACATATTTTAATGGTTTAGATCTATGGAATTGAGATTGTTGTAATTTTGAAATAGACTGTTATCAAACTATATGTGTATATTCAGAGAAATAATATCATTGCTGCAGAATGAACAAGCCATTTTGTTATCAAATTTAATGAAATAAAGTGACTCTGATATACAAAATAAAGTGCATTTCACATGTTAACATTGCACAGTGTGTTTGTGTGTCACAGTGAGTTGTAGAGATCAGCCAACAGAGGGCAGGCAGTCCCTCCCAAAATCACACCGACTGAAGTCCAATGTTTTGGTTTATGGTTGAACAAAACTCAACCTGAACTGTTTCTACATTCAGAAGGAAACTAAATAATGTAGAGACGAAACGACCTCTTTTACTGAGACTGAGAAAGGCTTCTAAGAATTATTAACATGGACTCCGGTAAGGTTATCGTTTAATGTCGTTAAAGTGGCTGTTTCCGTGATAAACTAGCAACTTGCTAATGCTAGCTGTTAGCTAAATTAGCTGTTGATATTTGCTTACTTTACCTAGCTTCGCATTGCTAATAAATAGCAGTGGCTACAGGGAAGCATTACCGATTAAAACTTGATTTCTGTATTTGATGTTTGATTTTGGTTGACATTAGGTAGCATTTGAGCTATACACATCAAACTTAAGCACCCTAATGTTAGTGGGTAATGCTAGCTGTTATATAACATTAGCTGTTAGCTAACCTAGTCAGTGGAGATGCTTTGTTTACATTGGAAACTTCCCGACACACACTGACTTTTCTAGGCTTGGTAAATGACCTTTGTTGCCTTCATAAGTGTTTTTAGTTGCAATTAACCTATCAAAAAGCAAATATGCAGTGGTGGAAAGTAACTACGTATAAGTACTGTACTTTAGGAATTTATTGAGGTTGGAGAAGTACTCAGATCTTGTAAAAGTAGAAGTACCAGAGTGTAAGAATACTTTGTTACAAATAAAAGTCCTGCATTCAAAATGTTCCTCAAGTTAAAGTAGCATCTAAATATAGTTAAAGTAGCGACAGTAAAAGTACTCATTCTGCAGATTGGTCCATTTCAGAATAATATATATGATATGATGTGTTTTAATTGTAATTATTGATGCATTAAAGTGTTATCAAAGCTGGTAAAGGTGCAGCTAGTTTTAATGACTGCAGGGTAGCTTGTGAATTTACTCCAGGTGTAACTAAAGTCTTATTTAAGAATCTGAGTACTTGTTCCATCACAGAAAATACCAACACACTCAGTTAATTAGAGACACTTTTTTTTATTGCATCTTTTCCACTAGGAGATAAGCAAGAGAAACAGGACCCAGTTGATATGGAGGGTGAGAGGGAAGGAGTACGACCCTGCATCCAGATGGACTGAAGAGCTCAGGCTGGTCCTCATCGGAAAAACTGGATCCGGAAAGAGTGCGTCTGGAAACACCATCCTGGGCCGAAGGCAGTTCCTGTCACAGATCAGCGCCAGCTCAGTCACCCAGAGCTGCCAGCTAGGGAGCACTGAGGAAGAGGACGCTGAGGAGGAAGATCAGACTGTCACACAGAGGAGGATGAGGAGGATCACGGTGGTCGACATGCCGGGGTTTGGGGACACTCACTTATCTGTGGAGCAGATCCATGCTGAGGTTGCCAAATGTGTGTCTCTCTCTGCCCCCGGGCCACATGCCTTCCTGCTGGTGGTGCCAATAGGACGATACACAGAGAATGAGAACCAGGCTGCGTGCGAGTTAACCAAAATATTTGGCGAGGAGGCAGTCCGTCACCACACAGTTATTCTTTTTACCAGGGGTGATGACCTGGAGGGCGTAGAGATCAAAGATTATCTGAGGGGGACCGCACCTGCTGGGCTTAAAGCTCTGATTGACAGGTGTGGAGGCAGGTACCATGTACTCAACAACAAAGACCCCAGCAACTCAGCGCAGGTTAAAGAGCTCTTACTGAAGGTGGGCGACATGGTGAGGCAGACCAAGGAAGGGTTTTATACCAATAACATGTTTTTAGAAGCAGAGGCCGCCATCAGGGAGGAGCAGAAGAGGATGTTGAGGGAGAAAGCAGAGGGGGAAGAACAGGATATATTTGCAAAAAGGAGGAAGTGTGACTTGGAGACTTACAGAGTAGAAAGCAGCGATATTGGATCCAGGAGGAGGGAGTTGGAGATAGGAAGGGAGGAGGATTTTAGGATGGAGAGGTGGACAGAAGAGAGCAGAGGCAATCCTTTTAGCTTCCTGAGAAACAGAGTGGAACAATGTAGAGATAAGTTCAGAGGCAGCAGGTCTGTGAGCAGGTGCCAGTCTCTCCATTCCTCTCTCACAAGGAGGGAGGCAGCGCTCTCTGTTAAGGTTCTGGAGAGGATTAAGATCATGGTGGCTGCGGGGGCCACAGGCCTGGCAGTGGGGGCTGTTTTCGGGGCCGCTGCGCCTTTAGCAGCCGCTGCCGGGGCTTCTTTGATGGGGAACTCTATTGGTTTTGCTGCAAGTCAATTTGCCGGGATGTCTGTCGCTGGAGGTTCAGGTGTTGGGAACGCCGTGGGGGCCATAGTAGCGGCGGCCTCTGGGAAAACTGCAGTGGCTCTGGGGGCGGCAACGGGTGGACTTTTGGGTGGTTCTGTAGGAGCTATCGCTGCTGCTGAAGCTGCCAGTCCTGGGGAGGGCGCTCTGGATGCCCTGGGGCAGGTTAGTCTCATAGGAGCCTCTGCTGTGGGGGTGGCAGCAGGGGTGGGAGGCACCTTGGGAGCTGGGGCCGCTTTAGGAGCCGCTCTGGAGGGAGCAGCTTTCAGCACAGCGGCTCTCAGTGGAGCTGCAGCAGTAGGGGGCGGCGCAGCTGCTGTAGCTAATGCGAATGTAGCTTCAGTAGCGGGAAGTGTAGCTCCTCCGTTAGCTGCAGCGGTTGCAAATGCCCCGGTGGCTGCTGGGACTCCTGGTGTTCTGTGCGGGTTTACAGGGCCCAGTGTGTCATCTGTGGCCGGCAGTGTGGTGTCGGACCCCTGGGGGACGGTGGCTGTGTCCACACGCCTCCTGAGTGCAGTGGCTGAGATCGGAAAGGCTGCAGCGGGCATTGCCTTGGCTGGTGGTCTGGTGGTGAAGGTGGTGAAGGAAAGAGTGAGGTGTGGTTCAGCAACAACAGAAGCCAGTTTCTCAGAGAAGAAGTCGTATGAGATCTACTGGAACAAACAGTGAGATCATGTTTTTCCCTATGAAGTCCTACACTCCACAGTAGCTGCCCTCAGTGAGAGATATCACACAATACAATAGATAAAAGAGAGCAGAAATTGAAGTTGCATTGATGTTGGTTGGAGCTATTTGAGGCTGGTGAATGAATTCAGTGACATTTGCAGTGCTGCCTGGGAGGTTTAATAAAGAAAAAAACGAATCAATTTTTGCAAGATTTGAACAAGAACTGATATACACACTTTTTGAATGAAGTGAAAAAAAGAGACATTTCATTTTGACCTTTCTCAAAAAGAATCAAAGAAGTGAAAAAAGATAGGTGCGATATTATTTTTAAGATGTTGTTAAACTCACTCATTAATGGGTGTTGAAAAATGAACAAAAGCAGTAGAAGTGTTATATTTTCATTAATGTATTAAAATAATAAAAAATACCTGGTTGTATTGCAGTGTTTCACATCCTGTAATCTGTCGACCGTTTTGCACTTATGTATTAAAACTAGTTATGAATAACTTGTTTATAATTACTGCAAATGTATCAGCAGTATTGTGTGTTCACGTTGATGCAATAAAATGAAAGGAATAAAGTATTCTTCCATGACTGAATATTATCTCCTTATTTCTTGTCTTATTTTCTGCCACTGCCTCAAAAGCGTTTTCTGAAGTACATTTGAAGGTGCTTGTGCTTGAGTATATCTTTACATGTACTTCACCTTAGATATAATAGTTGGATACACACATTTAATAATTCAACTGTATTTGCATTTTTTCTGCACTGTTGCTGCTATATTATAAAAGTACTCAAAACTTTTACATGCACTTCTGTATGAATTGCATTCACAATACTTTATTTATCCCAGGGGAAATTGCCTTTCTTGACATTTTAGACTTAAATATGATAAAAGATAAATAAATAAAGAATCATGCAAATATTGATATAAACGTAAGATGTTTGAGTAGGAATGTGCACATTATACTTACATATATAACGTGTATTACACTATATACTGTACAGTGGTGTGTTATTGTTATTAGATAAATAATTAATTGCAGTTTAAAATGGTTTGGCTGCTGATAAGTAAGGCCTAGTGCCAGTCTTTTGACTAAAAGTGACGGACGTTTGCATGAAAGTGGCGAAATAACATGTCTCAAGTTAGTATTTATTCTCAATGAGTCATTACTTCTAAGGTGGTGAATGTCTGTGTCTAATGAGACAGGGGGGGGCGCGGTTTATTCAAATGACAAAGAAGCTTCTGATGGTTGACGTACTATCAGACCACGGCAAATACGACCTTCTCATTGGACGATGGCGACTGGTCTCATGACAACAACAGATCTCTCTCGGCCAATCAGAACCCGCTCTGGGCCACAGAGTCTGTTTGTGAATGACGTAATAAGCGTAATGCAAGATGGCGACGACTTAAACATATATCTCAGTGAACTACTTTATCGACACCGAAGTCTGCCTCTCTTGGGGTTTCTAGGGTGGTTTGAGGCTTGTTCCGGTTAATAATAAACTAGTTAATTAGATAAGGGTTTTGTAGGCGTCGCTGAGCGCCACAAAACACCCTTTTCACCCTGCTGTCCTCGGGTGACAGCCGTTAGCGAGGTGCTAACAGACAGAATGGACAGCGGAGAGTACATCTCCACCATGGAGAACATGGACCCCACGTTAGCGGAATTAGGGGATGAATTTACACTGGGAGACATCGACGGTGAGTTGCTGTGACACTGTCAACACTGTTAAATGTTGTTGTTGTTTCCTGAATGAGTGGGTCTGTTTCCGCTCAGTTTTAGAGATCAGACTGACAGATGCTCACCCTGCTGAGGGGGCTGTTTATGATTTTTGTGAAAGATGCACAAGACACAATTATTAATATTAAAAGTGTTAATTACAGAACTAGTGTTTAAAAAGTGATTTTAAAGATTTTTAGCCATTGCATATACTTTTGTAAAGTAACATTTACTCTATAACTGTACTTAAGTTCAATTTAGCGGTATTTGTTATTTACATAAGCATGTCCATTACATACTGTTTCATACTACTTCTTCACTACACTTTGAAAGCATACCTTTTACTCACTACATGTAGATAGATGATGTACTATTATGAATTTAGATACCCAGCAGTATAAGTAATTCAAGTTAGCTCCACCAGTGCAAAATGTATATAATGAATAAATGGATCACTGATTTGAATTCAGTGATAGGATAAATATATTACTCCAAAAATGACCATTCTGTATAGTGAGTAATGTTATTTTTTATACTTTTAATATATATTTTGATCCTAAAACTTTTTTACTTTAAAGAGTTTTGCTAGACTTTTACTAGTAACAAAGTATTTCTACATAACTTTTACTTGAAAAGATCAGAGTACTTATTTTCCCACTGCCAATATAGTTCCTGTTGTTAGTCAAATTTGAATGTGCTTCTTTGTTATTTACTTCAATAACATTTATTCCACACCATTGCAGATAAACATCATTTGCAAATAATGTATTAAGGAAGCTAATATGTCTCACATGTTATGTTACATAGCTTCAATGGTACGTTTATTGAGTGTAGTTGTGGGCAGAATGTTGATTTGTGATGTTGGTATTTGTTATTCATCAGGATGTGTTTGTGGGAAGTAGAGGAAGACAACAAAACTTGCTCATCAAGCTTGACAGTTGTATTGTGAGTCATAAAACAAACCATGTAGATTATTATCTTTTAAGTATCATAACTTCCATGTCAAGATGTTCTACTTTTAGTAGACGAAGGGAACCACGTAGATCTGTATCACTTCAACTTGTTTACTTCCTTGTCTGGGTTGATGCTTTTTGTAGATTTAGAGGTAGAAAACATATTTTTAAAGCTTATTCTGCAGAATGAATGAGCTGGTGGGACAACATCTCTGTAAAGATCCAGCCCTGCTCTCTGTAGGCAGGGAACAAACAGCACCCCTGATCCGATCTCTCTCTCGTATCAAAACAAGTGTCATCGCTTGGCACACACTGAAAGGACAGGGATTTTGGTGAAACGCAGGCCTGTGCAGAGTCACCAGATTCCCACTAGGATGGAATTTAACTCAATGCTAAGTCACCAGACCGCACTGATGGAGCGATGTTTGTGTCAGTCAGAGTGAGACGAACTGAGCTTCAATTCTTTATTTGTGTCCATAAAACTACCATCAAAATGATGTTGCCAACATGTTGACAATAAGTCAAACTGTTAGCGTAATGCATAAAGTGAAAGTGCGACTCTATACTCCACATTTCAACTTTATTTTCTTAATATATTCTCAAAGTTTTGTCTTTATTTTTTACGTTTTCAACTTCAAATGTAATGGTGACGGTTTGTCTTTATTCTCAGTTTTCAACTTCAGCTATTTCAACTACTGTTAAATTGCAAAAAAATAGTATAAAAAGAGAGAAATAAATGATTTAATATGAAACATTTCAGAATCTCTTCCTGCAGTAAGTGTCTGCTGGTGTTGATTCTCTGTTGAAGAGGGCAGATCCCCCCCCCCCTGCCACAGTTATATAATCCCACTTAATCGTTGTGTTCAGACAGGAATGTGCAGATTGAGTGAGACAGAGAAATGACAACTGAGGCTTGACTGATGAGTTCACAGACAAGCTTCAACAAAGACTCACTTTAGTTTTTTTATTCACTCAGTTTGGCCCACGATGAATCGATAAATTCAGTTTTCCCATCAGGCAGGAAGTGCAGCCAACTGCAGAACATTTGATCCGTGTTACTGAAATTGAAGGCACCATCATCCATATTTAAAAGCATCACAGCCTCTTCAGGACAGTCTGCAGGGACTTGACTTGGGAACCCAAAGGTCACCGGTTCAAGTCCCGATCATACAGAATGTGGACAGGTAGCTGGAGAGGTGCCAACTCTCCTCCAGGCACCGCTCAGGTTTCCTTTAGCAAGGTACCAAACCCCAACTGCTCCGGCAGCCCCCTCGCTCTGACACCTCTCCATTTAATGCAAGTTAGGGCTGCTGAATTACCCAAAAAAACGAATTTGCAATAGCGATATGAACCACAATATTGAAGGGATCAGTACTGTCATTATTATTGAAAAATACATTATACTATATTATACTTGTTTGGGGTTTCCCTTTCTATATACAATGTAATGTAATGATTAACATGGGTCTGCAAAAGCTATAATAAATTAAAAAAACGTGTGAAGTTTGTATAATTAAAGTATTTAAATTAGTTGTGCAACCCTTAATGCAAGTTTGTGGAAGTGTTATCTAACGGTAAACACAGTTCAAATTCAAAATGTTTGAATCAAGTATTTCCTCTTCTTTTAATCTAAACTAGACAGTGCTATGTCTTCTTAACGCTGCTCTTCCAGTGAGCCATGTGCGTTTCACAGACTGTAAGGTCTGAGAGGCCCTCTCTGAGGGCTCGGCCAACTGACCCTAGATCCGTCTCACATTCCTCCTCTGCCAATTATGTTCTTAGCAACTGCAGCTCCCGTTATATAATGTATTTTCCTGCTCCTTGCGGCCTAGGAAACCGTCCCTTGATGGACGTACCCTTTGTGTGAGCTTGTTTGTCTCAGGGGCTCAGAGCTGCTTTGTCCTGAATGTCATCAACAGTCTGCCCCCCCCCCCCCCCCCCCCTGGGGAGCTGTACATGTGCCTGGTGTCTGCTCAGTACATTGTGTATGCATGTATATGAGACATGTGATGACTGGCTGATAGACCTGAGCAGAGAGGCAACACATGTTCCTACAGCCTTTTGTATCTGATTCTGCGTCTGCATTTATACCGAGCTGTGGCTTAAAGGATCAGTTTGCATATTTTGAACCTTCACGTTTAATGTTCTAGTTTTGCCTTCATGAATACTGGTTATGTTCTAAATTAAGAAAGTGCTGTCATTGTTTTTAACCTTTTGGCCAGTGATGTCAAATATGGCGTCACGAGAAGGAAAAAGTAACTAATAGCGATTTTTTGATTAATATTGCAATAGCAAGTGCACTGGTAACAACATCGTGGTGCATTGTGGGACATGTAGTTGATCTAGTCACCAGTAGCCTACCATTGGAGGAGCAAACATCTTCTATATGTAGTGACCCTTGATCAGATCACCTTTTACAGTCATGGTATGCAAACAGCATGGGAAAGCTATATATGCACACAGATAACAACACCTTTTATAGTTTTATATATGGCAATGCAGAGAGGAAAGACAGACAGACAGGAACAGGAAGCTGCTGTTGCTGAAAGAGATAAGAAGTCTCTGGGTGTTGTAATATTTGTGAGGAAGTTAATATATGTACTTTCTTCTAACTTTGTACACCTGTTCTGATATCCGATCCCTTTTGTGTTTATCAAACGTAATGAGATAAAGAGATTCCTGTCACTGCGCCATGATTGATATTGTGTAGAGTTAATGAAGTATTGTATTAGAGAGCCACTCCTTGCATGTAATGAATGTAATGACAAATGGAGTCAGGCATTATGATGACAGAAAATACCGTAGTGACTTACTGGAATTCATTTCTACGAGGAAAACTCATTGTTACTTTTACACTAACGTCATTGGAATCAAACAGAGCAGCTTGGATCTATGTCTCTGATGCTCAGTGCCATACATAATATCTCTGTAATACATTTTCCATTTGTAAATAATTATAATAATAACAGTAGAGTTGTGCTGAATGATATCCAGTGGCGGAAGAAGTACTCACATTTTATACATAGTTTATACATTTATTTTATACACAGATTTTATACATATTTACATCACTATGTAACACTTGCACTTTTATTGGCTAGCGCTCCAACACATTGCACGTGATAGGCTAAGGGGCGGGACATCTCTAAGCAGTTGACCAATCACAACAGAGCCGGCCAGCTAACCAATCAGAGCAGACTGGGCTCTGGTTTTTGAACATTAAAGCATGGAGACATGTCCCAGTAGAGACACTACATACTGATATACACCTGAACATCAGCAGGAGAGGACTCTTTAAAGTAGAGACACTACATACTGATATACACCTGAACATCAGCAGGAGAGGACTCTTTAAAGTAGAGACACTACATACTGATATACACCTGAACATCAGCAGGAGAGGACTCTTTAAAGTAGAGACACTACATACTGATATACACCTGAACATCAGCAGGAGAGGACTCTTTAAAGTAGAGACACTACATACTGATATACACCTGAACATCAGCAGGAGAGGACTCTTTAAAGTAGAGACACTACATACTGATATAGACCTGATCATCAGCAGGAGAGGACTCTTTAAAGTAGAGACACTACATACTGATATACACCTGATCATCAGCAGGAGAGGACTCTTTAAAGTAGAGACACTACATACTGATATACACCTGAACATCAGCAGGAGAGGACTCTTTAAAGTAGAGACACTACACACTGATATACACCTGATCATCAGCAGGAGAGGACTCTTTAAAGTAGAGACACTACATACTGATATACACCTGAACATCAGCAGGAGAGGACTCTTTAAATTAGAGACACTACATACTGATATACACCTGAACATCAGCAGGAGAGGACTCTTTAAAGTAGAGACACTACACACTGATATACACCTGAACATCAGCAGGAGAGGACTCTTTAAAGTAGAGACACTACATACTGATATACACCTGAACATCAGCAGGAGAGGACTCTTTAGAAGTACTAACCCTTTTTAGAATCATATACAAATATGGAGTTCATTTTAATAACTTTATTTATGTATTTATAGTTTGTATTAGCTATTAATCTGAATATTTATAAGTAACTAAAGCTGTCAGATAAATGTAGTGAAGTAAAAAATTACAATATTGGCTTCTTATCACTCTATGCTACTTTCAAATGTAGTGTGGAAGTAGCATAAAGTGATAATACTCAGTTCAAGTACCTCAAAATGGCCTTTAAGTCAAACAGTTAGAGTACATTACTCCATTATGTTCCACAACAGGTGACCTGTCTTTGTCTCACTCGGCTCTACAGTGAGACTTAAGTTCAAGGCTGCAGGCTGTGTTAGTTGACTCTGCATTGACCCTGTTGACTGAACACAGATATCAGTGATGCAGATCAGAGAGGGACGCTTCCACAGCATGGACCCTGTAAAGGAAGTCTTGGAGGTCCAAAGTCCTGAAGGACCATCAGAAACGTGGCGGTGGAACAGGAATAGACCATCGGCTTCTTTATCTTTCTTTGGCAACATGCTTTTGTCTTATAGCTGTGAAGTCATTCAAGTGAAAAAAGACGTGGTAACACACAATAGTGATGGGGATGGATTGCTTTTTTTATTCATCATAGTATACATAGTTTTATACTGTAATAGTGGTATATATTTCATTACCTTTTTGCTCTGTTTCATCACATTACAAGTCAGTTAACTGGTGTTTTTATCCAAATTGGCTTACATACACTTCCTACACCAGCGTTTTGGGGTTAAGTTAACTAACCCCAGTGTTTCCCCTACCATTGTCTTGGAGGGGTGCTGCGCCCCGCCAACGGAGCCCCGCGCCCCCCCCTTAAATTCAAGGTGTTTAAAAAAAAAAAAAAAAAATTATAATTCTTTTTGCTTTTAATTAATTTTTTTTTTTTTATATATATATAGCACCACATTGCAACTAATCTATATCTACTGTCACTTTTCACATTGAACATGTGCTCTTTTATTAAATAAACTAAACGCTTTCATTTTAAGTTTAGTGTTTTTGACCCTAAGAAACACTGATGCATTAATCAATAACAATAGTCCACAGCTCCTCTCTCTGCTCCAGAGGATTACAAAAATATATATCCCAATGCCGCCCCCCCAAGGCAGTAATCCTAGGGGAAACACTGAACCCTGTTATGGCAGAATCCTTATTACAGCGTGTTTCTCGCTTATTTATTAAGGTAACACAGGTCAGAGAGGCTCCATTGCCTCTTCCGCAAATATCAGCAGATGTACCCATGTTAAGTAAATTGGCCAAGGTCAGAGGGAGTCCAAGGGAGGTCTTCCTCAGATATAATACAGTTAAAGTCTTGTTAGTTAGTGGTTCATATCCAGCATGCATTAGCTAAGAAACGATAAAGATATTGGTGTGTTAGTTAATGTAAAGAAAAGCGTGTGCGTTCATGTGCAAACGTAGGATATGTTTTGTTAATTGGGAAATTCATATCCTGCAAGACTCCTAAAGACGTCATGAGATAATGACCTTTCGACATCTGGAACATATCCAAGTTTAGGAGACCTGACAATGTTCGTGTGTTAGCTGTATGTTCGTGTGTGTTTTACATGTATAAAGCACACGAGATCTTTGTGCTCGTTGGGGCATTTCTGCGATTGGTTGCTGAGAAGCAAGGTAAATGTTTCCCCATTGTTATTTGTTGTTGCGCAACTGAATAATAATTCATCTCAACCATGTCTGTGTTTGTGTTTTATTGATCTCTCTCTATGTTAACATTTAAGGTTGGTGAGCCATAAATTGCACTAACAACCCAAAGACACTTATGGCGCATTTCCACTACAGCGCGGAGCTCGCTTTAAGCGTGCCGAGCCGTGCGGGGCCTGTTTTTGGTTGCGTTTCCACTTAGCGTAGTACCGGCTAGCGGGTACTATTTCCAGATTTTCTGGCCCCATAAAATCGAGGTTCTTTCCGGGCCAACAACCAAGTTGAGTCGGGCTGAGTATGCTAAACTAGAGAGAGAATCGCTGGCTAGGGGGCTACAACTACAACAAGATGAACATATTTGACCGTGATTTAATTGTAATACACGTTTCAAAATGATGCCGAAGTAACAACATACTGATACCGGTTAGTAAAAACCATGAATTAATGCTTTGACAAGTCTGCAGACAGACGGCAGGCGAAAAACCTTTTAAAATGCGTGTTTTCTAAATGGAGATCGGCTAAGCTAACGCAGTATATGCTCCGACCGTCCACACTCACAACAACGGCCTATACAGACATAAATAAAGCAGCGACTGTATTCACCATGACACAGGCAGTCTGTGGTTTGTACTTGTTTAACTTTTGTCTAGTTTCTGAACAGATATGAGGAGCTGTGAGCTCTGAGTGCTAACAGCTAACGGCTGATGTTGTTTTTCTGGGGTTCTCATTGAAGATGACGTCACGGCTCCGCCTACACTGCGTTACTATAGATACTACCCCAGTTCCTAAACTGTAATGGAAATGCGCCATAAAGTGAGCCAGTCCTAACGAGGCCTAGCCATACCGAGCGAGGCTGAGCGAGGCCATGTAGTGGAAATGCGCCATTAGTATTCATATAGACTGTAGGAGGTGAGGATCGAACCACTGAACAACAGATTGATAGACTCCCCTTTAGTGGCCATGTGTGTGTCTGTTTCTATTGAAATATACAGATGGAGGCGATTGTATTTAATCATATTAGTGCAAAAAATCACCTTGTTTATATCTATGAAGGTAAATATTAAAATAGCATTAAAGGTGCCCAAATTAAGTATTCCTCAACAACACAAGAGACGGGTTGTCCACCTGCACAGTCTAAGTATCTTCCTCATAAAACATCTGCAACAACCTGATCAATTAATATTAATAAGGAGGGGATTTGTTGCAGTTTCACCACTTTGAGTCTGATTAACGTGTATGTGAGGAACCATTTAGTGGATGCTATTAGGTGGTGTTAGACATGTTGTACTCCATTGTTTAACAACAGAAGAGCATTCATCATTATAGTGGCTTCCATCCATCAGGTCCTCTTTATCTAAGTGTCCTTTTTACCCAGCTGCCTTTGTCTCTCTGGGTCATCAGTCAAACTACTACACACCTTTTCAAGGCTATCAGTTTGAAGGCCTTTTGCTTTCTGCACAATCTCCTCTCTGGTTTACGGCCAGAACAGTAGCTTCTCTTTGTGTTCGCGTGAGCCAATTCAAGGCCAGTGCCTGAAATGCTTCAGTCTTATCTGCTAGCAATACAAAGCTTTTACACACCTGAGGCCAGATCCACATTAGGGCAACCTTACCAGCATATTAAGTTACAATTTAACAGTTTTCAAGGACACTTGGCAGAGCAATATATAGATTATTACTTTCCAGTTCTGTGATAGTGGGAGTAGCTGAGGCCTGAGCTTAAGGGCAGAGAAGTTTTGACCATGTTGCAATACGTCGATCTGCAGGTTTCACCACATTATTCACATTCTGCTTTCAGTCACAACAGCACAGTGATACTGTACATCTCAAATAAAATGTGTCTTTTATTATTGCAATTATATTTCTTGGTATGTAACCATTTGAAATTGTTTAATGAATACTACAATCATTTTTGCTTACGTATAAATAGGGCTGAACAATTAATCAAAGTTTTATCGCAATATGAACTAGTTAAATGGGAGGCGTGTGGCGCAGTGGGCTAGTGCGTTGGTGTTGGGTTCAGGGGGGCACAGGTTCAAACCCCACTGCAGTCAGCATGTCGTTGTGTCCCTGAGACACTTCACCCCAAATTGCTCCTGTGGGGGATTGTCCACAGTATTGAGTATGTAAGTCGCTTTGGATAAAAGCGTCTAACAAGTAACATGTAATGTTAAATATCCAAATCACATTAAGCACAATGTTTCTTACAAAGAGATAGATTTGAAAGGGGGAGATAGGGGGATGACCATAGGCGGAGTTTGACATTTGCGCTTGGGGGGGCAAACCTTTTTTACTGACGTCAGCACACAGTCCCAACTATTGCGTGGGGTGCTACGGATACAGTAGCAATAAAGCCAGCGTTCACCGCACTGAGTGTGACTTTTCCACATACGAACACAACTCGTCCCGTCATGCACGCCTCATGCCCGCCGTACACACACACTCATATGGAAGGGGCGGTCTCTCCCCCCCCAACAACAGTGCATTACATAACTGTAAAACGTATCATAACTGTGCACATCTTATACTTATTTGATAACTACTATATCCCTTGGTTACTTGAACACGCTACAATATTATTAACCAGTGTCCTACCTTAGTGCAGAAGTAGACGCCTTTTTTTACGTTCCGCATATATGTCCACTATCCCCTCAGGTGACAGCTGTGCGGTTATGTCGTCCTCAATGTGAAGAACCGAAGTGAGGAAAATCTTGTTCCTCCCATCGTTGACCCGCAGCCAGTTCCGAGGTGGCAGATCCGATAGGCAGAGTCAGTGCCAACTGGAGCATCTTGTATAGATTTGGATAGCTGTCCTTAGCCCCCCCCCCCAAGCCCCCCCGCAAAATCCGCCTATGGGATGACGCACATAAAGAGACCGACGGCCTGATTCAAATCTGGGTCTGCCGCAGTGAGGACTGAGCTCCAGTACATTGAAACCATTTTCTTTTATAAATAATCACTAGAAATGCGGAAAATCATAAAACAGCCAAAACAGTTCAGAAAAAGACTTCCCAGTACTGTTATGTAGACAGAAAAATAAACTCTATATAATATAGTTGTATTACAAACAGGCCTATTTGAATTCTAATGGTATTGAACTATACATTTGACTCCTGTAATTGGCCTTTTCTCATGTTTTACACCATTAAATGAATGTCAGAGTTTCCCCAAAAGCTTAGTTTCAATCAATTCCAGACCAATTGTAATGCGGTTGTTCTTCTTCTCCTCAGAGATGCTGCAGTTCGTCAGCAACCAGGTGGGGGATTTCCCCGATCTGTTTGAGGATCAGATGGCCTCAGCAGGCTCAGGACAGAGTGGGGGGGCCAACACGGCTCCACGACCTGCCATTCAAACCCCACAAGCCCCCCAAACTCCTCCAACTCCAAAAACTCCACAGACTCCTCAGATTCAACAGACTCCCTCCCCTGTGGTCTACCAGACCTCCACAGTTGGCCTCGCCCCCTCCCAGACTCTCTCTCCCCAGTATCTCCCCCTCACCCCTCCCCTCACCCCCGTACAGACCCCCTCCCCCCCCAGCGTCCCCTCTGTGCAGGTACAGGTGACCCGCACCCCCCCTCTCCTCCAGCCAAGGCCTCAGATGGTTCAGCCCATCCAGCCTCAGCCCCTACAGACAGCGCAGCCCACCATCCAGGTAACAACTGTCAGTACTCTCATTTTTTCATTAATTAATTAATTTGTTTTTATGAATTTTTTCCTTTTAATTATTTAAGTTTTCTGGTTTTATTTATTTATTCAGTTATTTGTTTTTATTTATTAATGCATTTAATTATTTTTCATACATTAATTATTATTTTTTATTAATTTTGTCCTTTATTTATTTAAGCTTTCTTTTATTTATTTGTATTTATTTAGGCATTTATTTGTTTTTAATTATTTATTAATTCCTTTTATACATTTATTTATTTATTTTTTCACTCATGTATTCGTTATTATTAATTGATTATTATTGTATTATATAGTTTTTATTATATATTTATTCTCTATGTGGAATCAAGTACTGTTTTAATACATCAAAACAGAAAGTGTGAATATGTTTGTACACGTTGCTGAAACTGACATGGGTTATAACTCGGGCAAACTGCTACTTATTCCCCAAGGGTGCGTTAGTTTTATGCACTGTTATGTGGCGTGCTGAAAGGTGTTTTGGATCGATGCGTGGGTTTATATAAAGTGCTGCTGTGATGGATCAGTGCTGTAGTTATGAGTCAGCCTGTCTCTCCAGCTTGGATTTGACTGTCTGTCGTGGAGACGGTGTGTTGTTCTTTGTCATTGTGCCATCCGCACTAAAAAGGCTTCTGCTGACGGGGGGAAAACACTGAGTTCTGACACCAGTAAAATATACTATCCTGCATGCTTTAAAACAGCCTCAGCAGAACTGCAGTCAGCCTGACAAATAAAGTGTATAGCCCCTTTCAGGCACAAAGTAATTCAAGAAGCTTTACTTAGGCATGAACACTTGGAACAAATGAAACGGAGACAAACAAGTGCTATAAATTTGTAATGCTATTGTATTTCTATTTCTGAAATATTTTGGTTTCTCTTATGTACACTTACTTTTGATGCTGTTGCAACGCAAACATTTCCCAAATTGGGATCAATAAAGTCTATCTATCTATCTATCTCAAATGGAAGAATGTTTAAAATCAACATTGGAAATACATTGAAATGTTTAAATGACCTGAGATTACCGTTACTACAAATCTGCGGCGCATAGAGACTACCTAAAGGCCGCTACACACCCACCTGAGACCAAAGAACGCGTACCGAAGGCGTCCCGACTTTTACGTCAGCTACGCCGCCCGCCTACGAACACACCGCAAATACTTCAGTCGACGAGTGGCAATAACTGTCCTTACCAGCAGGCAGCGGTAGTGTGAACAGCCAATCAGAGTGATTGCTTGGGCCGACTTTCTCTGACCTCCCGCGGCCGATTCAACATGTTGAAGGTGTGAAAAGGTGCCGTAAAGAGACGACAGTGCGGGACACACCAACCTGAGTAGGGCGCCGCGAATGCCCGACTGCCTCTGACGGCCTCTGACTCCCAAAATCGGGTTGGTGTGTAGCCAGCTTTAGGTCAACAAAAAAAGACAAATAAATCCAGATGAACTTCCTTGTGATGCAGCAACATTGAATAACTTTTGATGTGAAATTGCATCTTGACATTCATTGTTTTTTTGTACTTAAATGCAGATGCACACCCAGGGGATCCAGATGCAGACGCAGAGCTTCCCGGTGCACACGTTGGTTCAGACCCACAGCCAGACGCCGCTGCCCATCCAGACCCAGGCCCAAACCGTGATGATCGCCTCCAACGGCGGACAGTCGCGCTTCATCCAGAGCCCCGTCATCTGCCACCAGAGCCATAACACTAGTTTCCAAGGTGACAAAAAACGAGATAAGGAGGGTGGTGAACCTACAAAATAGTTTTCAGGAAGGGGTTAAAGTTAGGGTTAATAAAGAAGTGCAGGGTTGACGTATTTTTGTAGACGGACCTAGGAGATGGCACCCTCTACTTGGGGAAAGCATCGCTGTATCACCGTACCTTTGTATACCAGACGGCGTTTTGTCATCGCCAAGTTCACTCCACTTTTTGAGAGATAAAAAACAGAAGATCCCGTAGATGTCAATGACATTTGACAATGACATTTTAAGAGAAATGTCATCATAGTATTCTGCGACCAATCTACTCATAAATTAGGACTAAGACATTATAGTAAAAGCATTTTGACTCGATGGATTTTTATTTTGAATTGAACAGTATTTCCTCTCTCTCTCTCTTTTGATTCAAAACCTTAATCTCTGGCTCGACCGTATTTTTCCATCTGTGTCTTAAAGTCCCATATTTTCTGATGTAAAAACAAATTGCTGCCTAGTAAGCTGGTTCGACTCCCGAGCCGGCTGAATATTTCAGGCGATGTCCTCCCCCCCTCTATCTCCCCCTTTCACTCTCAGATCTCCAAAAAGGCCCTCTGGCCCCAAAACGTCCTTAAAAAAAAATTGCTTTGACATCTTTAGGGTCTTCTGCTTTGTATCCCTCAGAAGGGGACATCCTGGCGATGAACCGATGCCAGTCTGGTCTGTATGGTAGGCATTACGGTAAGAGTGTAAGAACTGAGTGCAAAAAATAAAAGCCACCTTCCATAAATCAGTCAGTGTGTCAGTTATAAATAAACAATATGTGTATAAGAAAAATAGTTTTCAATTATGTGAATAATGAAGGAATCTTATTTATAAAAAAATACATTTCCCCATCTGACTTCAAAATGACAGTAAACCACCTCAAAGAGTCATGAGCAACACTTTCCACAGTGTGATGTGGAATTACAAAATAAAATCCCTCAAACATGCAAGCTGTGTTTCAGGCTGGTATGATCATAATAGTGTTAAATAATCAAACCGTTTTGTTATTTTCGTGAAGATATGGAGAGATACATGTTACGCAATAATATGTTTTTTCTTAGAATCTGCAGAGTATTTTTTAATGATCTATAATCTATGTTCCCATTCTCAGTCCTCCAACCACAGATGCAGAGCATAATGACATCACCACAGCTCCAACCAATGACCATTCAGCACCAGCGCGTCCTGACCCCCACCTGTCAGACCATCCAGACGCTCTCCGCTGCGCCCACCACAGTGCACGCCATGCAGCAGCAGATGCAGCAGCTACCTGTGAGTAACACCACTGCATTTAGAATCAGTGTCCACCTTTAGGAAATGAGGCAATAGGGTGTGTTTTTTTGCTGATATTTGGTAATAAAAGATCAATATTACTAACTATCTTACCCTTGTTAGTGCAAAAGATATCTCATACACAAATCATTTTTGCTGTGTCGAGGCCCAGGAGATCTTAGTACCAATGTTTTGACCTTTTAAACATCTTGTATACAAATATAAATACCTTGCATTGACATTTGCACGTCGTCATTCCAACGTATTACATACAGAAGGATGAGTGAGGCAGTAAATCCACACAATATTCATATAATGAGCGCTTTGAGCACCAGGAAAAGCGCTATATAAATAACATGTATTATTATGATCATATTTTCAAAGCCCTAAATGGGCTGGCTCCGTCTTATATAGCCGAACTCCTCCATCGCTACACCCCAGCCAGAGCTTTAAGGTCTGCTGACCAGCTGTTGCTGATAGTGCCCAAGACCAGGCTCAAAACCCGAGGGCACCGAGCCTTCGCAGCAGCTGGCCCTAGGCTCTGGAACAGTCTGCCCCTCCATGTGAGGTCGGCCGAGACCCTAGGGGTTTTTAAATCCTCACTGAAGACTCACTTCTTCTCTCTGGCCTTCTAGTCAGAGCGGAGCACGACACCTGACTATTCCCTGTGTTTTAGTTTTTTATATTTCTGTTGTAAATGATTGTCTTTTATTGTGATTGTAGTAAAGTGTTTTTATTACATGTACAGCACTTTGGCTCGACCAAAAATCGCTTTTAAATGTGCTATATAAATAAAACTTGATTTGATTTGATAATACTCCTCAATAAAATCCTTTATTGGATAAATATTGTGACTAATTTCTTATTTAGTAAGTAGCCGTGTAATCAGCGGGACAATGTGCATCGAGCCGGTCAAAGTCAAAGTCAACTTTTTGTGTGTACAGACAGAGAGATCGAAATACCGTTTCCCACAATCCCGAATACAAATATATATAAAAAATATGTATAACAATATGTTTATCATACACAATCAACGGACACATTTATACATATGCACACATTAAGACTTAAATAAAAGCACAACAATCAATATATACAAAATAACAGTCACTTCAATATCTTTGGGAAATGTACATTAGTGCAAGATTGTCCATAGCAGCGTAAAAAGTGTCTGATTTGAGTGTCTGAGTGTGTGTGTGTGGGGAGTTAAAGTCCAGTGGGGGCAGGGGGGGTCACCCGCATTATCCCTTACTTTATAATTGTACCCTGATTTCCATGCCTTTCCCTCAGGTTCTGATGCAGCAGCCTCAGATCCTGAAGACGGACTCTCTGGTTCTGACGACACTGAAACCAGACGGCACGCAGGTTCTGTCGACCATGCAGAGCCCGGGGATAACAACCCTGACCACGCCCATGCAGAACACCGCTCTGCAAGTCCCGGTACACAGACACAGTTTCACGTTTGATATTATTAGCAAAGGTGGAAGAAGTACTAGATCCTCAACAAAGCCAAAAGTAGAAACACTTAATGCTCCAATATGCAGTTGTGGTCACTGTATGTATATTTTTGACCCCGCAGATTTGATCACATTTTCAGAAGACTCATTATAAATTCATAAAAGAACCAAACTTCATTTAGTATGTGCTCCAATCACTCATCACAGAAAAATAAGAGTTGTAGGAATTATTGAAAAGTCAAGACTGTCATGAAATACATGTTCTTTACAAGTGTATGTAAACTTTTGACGGCAAATGTCCTGAATTCAAAATGTTACTTAAAGGTGGGGTAGGTAAGTTTGAGAAACCGGCTCGAGATACACTTTTTGTTATATTCCATGGAATGCTCTTAACATCCCGATAGCAATGAATATCTTAAGTGCTTTGACAAAGAATCCATTAAAAATATCATCTGTGGAAGCCGTAGTACTGTAAAAAGCACGACCAATCATTTGAGCCGGCCCGGCTAAAATAACTGGATGGCCTACCTGCCTGTCAGCCTTCCATCTGTGCACAAACTTATCTCGTGCCCTCATTGGTCATGTGCGCGTTCGTGTGTGTTGGAGGAGGGGCTCTGTAAGGAAGTGGCAGATTTGTTCCGGCTGTGTATTTTCAAATTCTAGCGCACTCGAGCTGGTTTCTCCAAAATTACCTATCCCACCTTTAAGTAGAAGTGCAGAGGTATATTTAGCTAAATGTACTCAAAAGTACTCATTATGACTAATTGGTCTTTTTTTACAGTACTATATTATTATAGAATTTATGTGTAAAAAGTAGGCAGTAACTTTGTGTTAAAAGTGCAAAAAGCTTGATATATGCCTCTGAAATGTAGTGGGGTAGAAGTATAGAGTAGCATACAATAGAAACAGACAACTAGAGTGCAATTATGTTATTACGTACAGTACTTTGTAATTGTACTTGCATCCCATCAGTGATATTTGGGGGTTGAAAACACAGTCACAGTTTCCGTCCCAAACTGAAACTAACGTACTGCTCTTGATTTCCCCCAGACGCTGATGAGCAGCAACATCCTGACCACCGTCCCCGTCATGATGAGCGGAGACAAGCTGCCAATCAAACAGCTGCAGCCAGGCTCCGCCCACAGCAACACGGGAGCCAGAACCATGATGGATCAGAGCCAGATGATGGGGGGGGTGATCGGCCCGGGGGGGGGTGGTGAAGGAGGGAGAGAGGAGGACGACTCACAACATCATCGAGAAGAGGTACCGCTCCTCCATCAATGACAAGATCCTGGAGCTCAGGGACCTTGTGATGGGAAACGATGCCAAGGTGGGTCTCTTAAAGGTCAGCTATTACGCTTTTTCATGTCTCTTCTACATCAACATGTGTCCCCTCTGTGTAAAGACATTCTGAAAGTTTCAGGAACAAAGATTCTCTCTCTTTTTGTCCTGATCCATTTCTATAAAAACCTGTCTGAAAATGAGCTGATCAGATTTTGGCCACTTTATGATGTCATAACGATGTTTTGTCTTGTGTAACCATTAGCCAATCACCAACCAAGGTAACCCCCCCCCCCCCCCCCCCCCACCTTATCACCTGAATCTCCTCCTAGAGCACCATTGTGTTCTGTTTAACCAAATCTCTCTCAGAGGGGCGTGGGGAGGGGCTCCTTATTTTCATCTAAAGTAACAGACAGAGAATCAGTACTTTGGAAACAGGGCTGAAACAGAGGGGATTATGGGTAATGCTGCAATGATCTGTTTGGTGTTTCAGCCAATCAGAAACAGGCTCTGGATATATCTGAGACCTATAATATATTGATGAAAAACAGTATAATAGGGGACCTTTAACATCAGGAGAGTGACATTTTAAAGGCCTTTCATCATTATTACATTTAATAAATATATCAAGCAAATTTAACATGAATTGTTTTAGTGTTTAAATGTGTAAAATAATCCACTGAATTCTCCAATTAATCCCAACATGCCCTTTTTTCCCAGATGCACAAATCAGGAGTGCTGAAGAAGGCCATCGACTACATCAGATACCTGCAGTCGTCCAATCAGAAGCTGCGGCAGGAGAACATGGCGCTAAAGATGGGCAACCAGAAGAACAGTGAGTGATTTACAAACTGAATGTTTAGAAGTGGAGTGTGATCTGTAGGGATGTCACTGAGTCTCTCTCTCTCTCTCTCTCTCTCTCTCTCTCTCTCTCTCTCTCTCTCTCTCTCTCTCTCTCTCTCTCTCTCTCTCTCTCTCTCTCTCTCTCTCTCTCTCTCTCTCTTTCTTTATCTCAGAAACAGTGATTCGCTCGGAAGATGTGGAGATGAAGGAGGAGATCGTGATGATGTCTCCTCCGGCCTCGGACTCTGGTTCTGGTTCTCCTCCCCAGTTCTCTCCCTACTGTGTGGACTCAGAGCCCGGCAGCCCCCTGCTGGACCACGACCAGGTAACACACCTTAGCTTTAGAGTTGTGGTAGAACAAAATCTTGCTTGTGTCTCTCAAATTAGGATACCAAACAGCATGGCTTTAATGAAGTGTCCGTGAAAACACACACACAGAATACCTTTTTTTAAGTTATTTCCAAATTGGCAGTATCCTCCTTGTATTGATCTGAATCTTGACATTAAAATAACTGTAATGTTAACTGTAATAGTAGCCAAAGAGTGACCAGTGCTATAATAAATAAATACAAAAGAATAATGGATAATTAAAACTAATAATACAATTTTTTTGAAAATGTGAAGTAAAATAAAAAATAAAATAAACAAGAGGGTGAAAAAAAGAAAATTATTATTATTATAAAATACAGTATTTATTACAATTATTCTATTTATTTAATAATAATAATATGTTTATTTCGTATAGCACCTTTCACAGAAATAGAATTCACAAAGTGCTTCACAAGAGAAGAAACATGAATACAATAACAACATGAGGCAGAAATGTAAGGTCAACATAAAAACAGAACACAGACCACGTGGAGTCCCGAGAGGAACAAACATAAGAACAGAACACATCACACACATCTCAAGTATAAAAAAAAGCCAATGTAAAAAGTCATTTAAAAGTATAATTACTCATTATCGTTAACCTGTTCTTTCCCAGTTGAAGAGTGAGCCAGGCTCTCCCTCCTCGGTGGGAGTGATGGACGGCTCTCGTCTCCTCCTCTGCGCTCTCACCTTCTTCTGCCTCTCTCTGAACCCTCTGCCCTCCATGTTGGGCTCCGAGGCCTCGGGGAGCCCCGGCCTCTCTGCGGGCCACGGGCCGTCCAGAACGCTCGTCTGGTGGTTCCCCAGTCCCACTCAGGACTTTGGTGAGTAATCGGTGGTCCGGTAGTTTGTTTCAAGGTTCATGGCAAAATCTAAGATGTGTTGGAAAATGTGTAATGTGCTAAACGTTTTTTTCAGCTCATATTAAATATTCAACAGAAAATATAACAATTTAGATCAGAATTGGTCTTTTTACTTTCCTCCTCCGGGCTTCCGTATACTTGTTTTTATATGTCGAGCTTTAAAGGTCACCTATTATGTAAAATCCACTTCTTCATGTCTCTTCTACATCAACATGTGTCCCCTCTTCTTCATGTCTCTTCTACATCAACATGTGTCCCCTCTTCTTCATGTCTCTTCTACATCAACATGTGTCCCCTCTTCTTCATGTCTCTTCTACATCAACATGTGTCCCCTCTTCTTCATGTCTCTTCTACATCAACATGTGTCCCCTCTTCTTTATGTCTCTTCTCCATCAACATGTGTCTCCTCTTCTTCATGTCTCTTCTACATCAACATGTGTCCCCTCTTCTTTATGTCTCTTCTCCATCAACATGTGTCCCCTCTTCTTCATGTCTCTTCTACATCAACATGTGTCCCCTCTTCTTCATGTCTCTTCTACATCAACATGTGTCCCCTCTTCTTCATGTCTCTTCTACATCAACATGTGTCCCCTCTTCTTCATGTCTCTTCTTCATCAACATGTGTCCCCTCTGTGTAAAGAGTCTCTGAAAGTTTCAGGAACAAAGATTCTCTCTCTTTTTGTCCTGATCCATTTATATAAAAACCTGTCTGAAAATGAGCTGATCAGATTTTGGCCACTTTGTGATGTCATAACGATGTTTTGTCTTGTGTAACCATTAGCCAATCACCAACCAAGGTAACCCCCCCCCCCCCCCCCCCCCCCCCCCCCCACCTTATCACCTGAATCTCCTCCTAGAGCACCATTGTGTTATTTTTAACCAAATCTCTCTCAGAGGGGCGTGGGGAGGGGCTCCTTATTTTCATCTAAAGTAACAGACGGAGAATCAGCACTTTTGAAACAGGGCTGAAACAGAGGGGATTATGGGATGCTGCAATGATCTGTTTGGTGTTTGGAGCCAAACACTTCAGAGACATGTTTTGTATATATCTAAGACCTAAATATAACTGGATGGCCTACCTGCCTGTCAGCCTTCCATCTCGTACACAAACTTATCTCGTGCCCTCATTGGTCATGTGCGCGTTCGTGTGTGTTGGAGGAGGGGCTCTGTAAGGAAGTCTGAAAGAAGGGGCAGATTTTTTC